CGAACTATAGCCTCCCAAATAGAATCTCACCTGGACAGCGATTTCTATCTGGTTTCAGCTCTCGCCACAGCACTGAAAATGACATTATCCTCTCTGCTGATTGTGGTTCCCTCTCCATCTTCCTCATCTTCATCATCTTCATCCTACTTGACCAACCGCTACCTTCGACACCATTAACCACTCCATCCTCACCTCCTTCAGTCCTTAACTAAATCACATCTCTCTGGCAGAAAACAATTAATTTCCATCAACAACTGCAAACCCCCTCACGGCGTCCCCCAGGGCTCTGTACTTGGTCCCCTGTTTTTCATCATTTACATCCTCCCACTTGGACAGATCCTCCGCCAACACCAACTCTAGTTCAACTGTCATGCCGACGACACCCAACTCACCCTCTCTACAAAAACTCTTTCTGCAACCACCCACTCCCAACTCACCACCTGCCTCACTGACATCAGAACATGGAGCAAAACAACTTTCTGAAACTAAACTGTGACAAATCTGAAATAATCATTATAGGCCCAAACTCACAAAAAATCTCTCAAAACTCACTTATTCACTCCAGCTTTCAAACTAAAAGATAACCCCCCCCCCCTTTACTCGTACTTGGATTAGCAAAACTGTTTATGTTTTCTTTGTATTGTTTCTGTTCTGATTTTATGTAAAGTATCTTTGAGCATTAGGAAAAGCGCTATAGATATCCCATGTATTATTATTATTATTATTATTATTATTATTATTAACAAACTGCAGGTAATCTGTTATTACAGTCAATCTGATCAGTTTATAAAGGTTTAGATCAGGAGGAACACCTGAAATGTATTAAAGCTGTTCCTCTGAACCCTCATCTCTGAAAGCAATAACGCTGCAATGCATGATGGGAACAGCAGGTCCTCCAGAGCCACATCCTGCCCTTTAGGGAGATGAATGTATATGTGTGTGTGTGCGTGTGCGTGTGCGTGTGTGTGTGTGTGTGTGTGTGTGTGTGTGTGTGTGTGTGTGTGTGTGTGTGTGTGTGTGTGTGTGTGTGTGTGTGTGTGTGTGTGTACCTGGAACCTCCTCATGTCTCGGGGGTTCCCGGCGTTCTTCAGACAGTTCTGGTTACACTTGAGGAAGAACTTAAGGAAGAACCTAGAGAGACAGAAACATATGTATTATTATATTAAATATCAGCAGGAGAGGACTCTTTAAAGTAGAGACACTACATACTGATATACACCTGAACATCAGCAGGAGAGGACTCTTTAAAGTAGAGACACTACATACTGATATACACCTGAACATCAGCAGGAGAGGACTCTTTAAAGTAGAGACACTACATACTGATATACACCTGAACATCAGCAGGAGAGGACTCTTTAAAGTAGAGACACTACATACTGATACACACCTGAACATCAGCAGGAGAGGACTCTTTAAAGTAGAGACTCTACATACTGATACACACCTGAACATCAGCAGGAGAGGACTCTTTAAAGTAGAGACACTACATACTGATACACACCTGAACATCAGCAGGAGAGGACTCTTTAAAGTAGAGACACTACATACTGATATACACCTGAACATCAGCAGGAGAGGACTCTTAAAGTAGAGACACTACATACTGATATACACCTGACATCAGCAGGAGAGGACTCTTTAAAGTAGAGACACTACATACTGATATACACCTGAACATCAGCAGGAGAGGACTCTTTAAAGTAGAGACACTACATACTGATATACACCTGAACATCAGCAGGAGAGGACTCTTTAAAGTAGAGACACTACATACTGATATACACCTGAACATCAGCAGGAGAGGACTCTTTAAAGTAGAGACACTACATACTGATATACACCTGAACATCAGCAGGAGAGGACTCTTTAAAGTAGAGACACTACATACTGATACACCTGAACATCAGCAGGAGAGGACTCTTTAAAGTAGAGACCTACATACTGATTACACTGAACATCAGCAGGAGAGGACTCTTTAAAGTAGAGACACTACATACTGATATACACCTGAACATCAGCAGGAGAGGACTCTTTAAAGTAGAGACACTACATACTGATATACACCTGAACATCAGCAGGAGAGGACTCTTTAAAGTAGAGACACTACATACTGATACACACCTGAACATCAGCAGGAGAGGACTCTTTAAAGTAGAGACTCTACATACTGATATACACCTGAACATCAGCAGGAGAGGACTCTTTAAAGTAGAGACACTACATACTGATACACACCTGAACATCAGCAGGAGAGGACTCTTTAAAGTAGAGACACTACATACTGATATACACCTGAACATCAGCAGGAGAGGACTCTTTAAAGTAGAGACCACTACATACTGATATACACCTGAACATCAGCAGGAGAGGACTCTTTAAAGTAGAGACACTACATACTGATATACACCTGAACATCAGCAGGAGAGGACTCTTTAAAGTAGAGACACTACATACTGATATACACCTGAACATCAGCAGGAGAGGACTCTTTAAAGTA